GCACAGCCGCCGCTCATCCTGCAGCCTCTTGCCTCTCCCCTGCAGGTTGGGGTGCCACCTATGACTCTTCCAATCATTCTCAACCCAGCCCTAATTGAAGCCACCTCTCCTGTTCCCCTCTTAGCTACTCCACGGCCCACTGACCCTATGACAAGCTCTGAAGTCAATTAGTTGGAGGATTTTGGAGAACTGTCTGCTGATGAGGCTCTGTGGGTGGAGGATGCTGGCCAAATGTTCTCTGGTAGTGGGCCTGTTTGTTTAAAAAAATGATGCTAACCTGAGCAGAAGGGCTGTTGCCACAGTCCTCTGGAGCATGTCCCATCCTGCTCCCTTCTTGTGGCATCACCTAGAAATCTGCCCCAAAATCCCTGTCTCTGTGGAGGAGTGCCCAGTTCCACTGACCAGTCTCCTTCCTGCCTTTGCAGTCTCAGGGGCCAGGCAATGCCTGTGCCCAGCAGCCTGGGACCAAGCTGCCACCAGTTCATCTGGTAAAGAGGGAAAACTTGTTGATGTCACACCAGAGAGGGGCTGCAGTACAGGACTGCCTCTCAAGATTACTCAGTCCAGTCCCTGGGCAGTTCCCCAGCCATTCCCTAGCTTTCCTGCTGACTCTTCTGGTTGTACTGCTTTGTTTGGGATCTGAGCACGCCTGGGTTCAGCAGGTAGAGAATTTTATTAGAAACGTGGATTGCTTACAGTGCAGCTCTCAGATTGCTGCGTAGGACTTCTTGCCTGCTGGTACACGCTTTCCTTCCTGCAACACGGATGACAACAATCCCCAAGCCAAATAGAGATTAAGTAGTAGGCAAGTCTGATAGGGGCTTTCATCCCTGCTCCTGTAAATGTAATCAGGCTTTCTGGTTGGTGAAGGCAAATCCAGAAGGCTCTGCCTAGCTGAGTAGATGAGAAGGAAATGCTGAGAGCAGAGCACCATGGCCATGTCTCACACAGCACTTGTGGGGCAATCATGTATTGTTTGCCACTCGCTGCACATTGATCTCTGGGTGACCTGCCCCTTCCTTAGGAGAACATCCCCTTCACCTACAGATGTGGGGATCTGTGGCACCTGCTGACAGATGCTCAGCAGGTCTGCAGTGGTTTCTCTTGAAAGCTCTGAAGAGATCACACCCTTCTGCAGCTTCTTGTTGGGATCCCATGTCCTTCTACCCCCGGAAGGCCCCTGCAGCTGAGGCCCTGGCAGTGATTCTTGTGCTTCCATCTTGCTGCAAGGACATCCCGCTCTTCCCCCGCTCATGTCCAGAGCAGAGCTGCTGCCTGGCAAGTGCTGCATCGCTCATCCTCCTCCTGCTCCCTCGACTAGTTGGCTAAATTCTCAATAATTTCAATCTTGGAAATCCCTCTGGTGACTGGGAGGGGCATGGGTGGGAGTCCAACCCAGTGTATCCTGTTAGGAGAGGAACCTGCAGTTGGTGTGGGAATACAACCAGTGTACATACAGAGTAAATGGCTAAAATCCAATGGACTTTTTACAGTGTAATAAATACATCCTGTAAATGAACGTTCTGGTGTTGTGCTCCTTTTCTGTCATGGAACTTTGGCTCAGAGCTTTGGGAAAAGGGGAGTCTGCTTGTCAAGGTGTTGTGCTCTGGCTTCATATACCAGTGCTCTGTCTGGAGGGAGCACATGGGGACTTGTCAGCTTGGGGTGGGGGGCTGCAATGGAGGTTAGCCATCAAGGGACTAATCAGGAAAGGTTCCCATCGTGGACAATGCATAGCTGTAATAGTGAGATTGGCTCTTTCAGATGGCAATAGTTTCACATGGGCTGTAAAAATTTCTGGTGTTACATTGGTGTATGCTCATGCACCACCAGGATTGAGGGCAGAGAAGCAGGTGCTCTACTCATCTGGTCATGGTGCCACAACATAGACCTTGGTGACAGCTCTGCTGACATTGGTGATTCTCTGATGAAGAAATCCTTGTTTCCATGGATAGGACTCAGAGTTGGAGAGGGTGTGAGAGATGCTGGGCTCTTCCAGGGCTAGTGCTTGCCATGGATTTGAACAACTATGCTTCCCTCCTGGTATTTTCTACTTTGTTTCATGGCAAGATCCACGCAGCGCCGCAGTGTCCTCAAAGCTGTGTGAGGCACCAGTGCCTTCTCTATTGCAAGAAACTTACAGACTTGGTAAGGGGGTAAAAAATTGCGAGTTTGTTTAAATTGCATGAGAAAAGTTCTAAATATTGCATAATGGAAGAGTAATGTGCATACTAGGAAAGTCCTGGTAATAAATCCTCATTCCCTAACCCCATTTGTGCCATTCCTGGAATATTTTCGCTGCTGCAGCTGTCTCTTCCTCGCCCTCCACTGCCTGTAGATTGTGTCTTTCCAGCCCTCAGATGTTTTCATTAATGTATTTGAGTCCTTGTGCTGCTCATGGTGTGCTTCTGTATCCAGCCCCTGTCTCTGTCTTGTCTTTTTGAGCCTTCACTTCTATTTACAGCTCTGTTTTTCTGCTTGTTGAAAGCTTTAGATTATTAACTCTTTGTAAACCATTGCTCAGTTGTCAAGTGCTTAGATGTCACACTGCTGCTTCTGATCCCCAGGCCCAGGTGGTCCTCTGACTTTTTGGGGTGATGTCAGCTAATAGCAAAGCTCCATTTTGCCAGCTGCCTTCTGATAGCTGTTTTGGGCATATGCTGTGTTTTAACACATGCTGTGTTTGCAAACCCAGCTTCTACTGAAAGCATTATGTCTTAACTTAGACAATTATGGTGCAAAGAAAATGCCACCTGAGAGAACTACAGGAAGTGGGACTAGAATGAAAGGAATGTTGACTAGAAAGACAGAATTGCACTTTAAACAGTTTTCACTAGACTGTAAATAGGAATGGACTGGAAAACCAGAAAAATAAATTTTTGAATGTTGTTTGGATTTTGCAAGATGAGGATTAATGCTACAGAGAAAAAAAAAAAAAAGTCAGGGAAAGTATTGAACTGAAAGGAGATCAGAATCAACTGTCAGGTAGCATGTGCTACCTGATATGTTAATCAGTACGTCTCCTGAACTCTATTTGTAAGGCAAATTGCATAAAAGCCAGTCATACTACTAATGGCTGCTGGTGAGGAGTGGTGTTTACAACAGTAGCCCTTAGATTTGTTCTAGCATATACTTTTTCTAGTCTTGGACTTTCTCATTTTTACTCAGGGTCTGACTAAGTATTTTCCAGAGGAGGCTGAACAGACATCACTGTGGTTTGAATTTACCTGCCTCTTCTGTTCCCATTTACATCAGGGACTTCTACTGCTAAAACAGAATAGAAATATGTTCTGGGAATTTAGCATGTTGAACACTTTGCTGTGGAGCTGGTATTTTCCTCATTGGTATGAAGCTTACTACTGTGAGGAGTCCTATGGAATGATAAGCCCTGACTGTAAAACATACATTTGGCACTGAAACTTGTGAAACAGAAGCACTGCTGCTTTCAATTCCAATTTAAAAATTGGGTTTGAGCATACTCAAAAGGCCTGTAAGAAAGATTTCCAGGACGTATCAACAGTGAGCTGGCTTTTTTAGAAGTTATCCTCAGTTCTATAAATGCCAGCTGTTGAACTCCTCTGGAAAAATGTATGCCTGTTACAGAGGATGATGTGTTCTGAAGCCACTGTGCCTGGCATTTGCAGCCCAGCTGCGCAGAAGGCAGCCCGGCAGGGCTCGTGCTTCTCGCCTGCGGCGCCGGAGGCCCCGGGCGCAGCGGGCACCGCTCCCCGCTCCGTGTGGAGCCTGCCGGGAGAGGGAGGGCCGGGCCTGCTGCCGAGAGGGAATGCCCGGCGCGGCTCTGGCAGCACAGCCGGCTCGGCAGCGCAGTTCGGGAGTGCAGCTCTTGCCCCGAACTGATGGGCTGAACAGCGAGGAGACACGCTGGGCCCGTGAGGAGGCTGCTTGGGGCGCGAGTCAGCGCAGAGGACGATGAGCTCCCCAGACTACAAGTCCCAGTGTGCAGTACTGCCCCTGCGGTGTAACCGGCACCCTGGCCCGGGGGAGCAGCCAGGGCTCCTCTCCCACACAGGCCAGGGTCAGAGCTGTCCCCGGGCAGCTCCTCTCTGCAGAAGGGAAAGTGCAGGCTTTATGAGCACCAAATGTTCCGTTCTCAACGGGTGTGCACACTGCTTGGCGATGGAGGATGTGTTGGGACTTGAAAACATATAAACATATCCCTACAAGCAGCCAAGGGCAAGAGGGCAAGTTATTGCTGAGTTCCCAATAGGGAAATGGGACAGCTGTGGCCTCACCACAGCCCTGCTTCTCTGCCAGGGGAAGTTGTACTTCCTTTCCTCACGTTTTCTGTGAAAGAAAAATGGAAATTTCTCTGGGCAGCAGGGTTGGTGGCTGGCTGCTAAACTTAATCCCTAGTTGTAGAAAGCATCTGGGAAGAGAGAGGTCAGGGTAACCGGGGCGGGAGCGTGTGCAGGCTGGCAGTGTGGCTGCAGCCATTTAGTGAGAGCACCAGGTCAGTCACTCCTGGCGTGCAAACAGAGCCCTGTCCTCAGGAGGGAATGCTGAGCCCCATGGAAGAAGAGTGAACTAAACAAGACCTTCTCTGCCTGGCCCCTCCCTGAGGCAGTACCTCCTGCCTCGTCCTTTGACAGTGCCCTTTGGGCCACACTTGCACGAGCCCACACTTTTGAGGATGTGGCCCCGGGCTGGTGTTCGGGCAGAGACAGCATCACCTGAGCTGAGAGGGGTGAGGCCCCCAGCCCCGCAGCAGGCTGTGGGTGCCCGAGTCGGCCTTGCCAAAAGCTGTTCGGGTCCGCAGCTCCCGGCAGGAGTGTTCGCTGCTGAGCTGTGCCTGCCGTCCCCGGCGCTCTACGGGAGCCCGTCCCTCGCCGCGGCTCAGCCGAGAGCGCTGTGGGGCCCCCGCCCCGCGGAGCCCGGCGTTGCCGGCTCCATGCCGTCCTGCTCCCCGGCTGCCCTCCCCAGCACTGACCTGCTCCCCGGGCCGGCGGCGCGGGTGCCACGTGGCGCGGGGGCCGCCGCCAGCCCGGCCCCGGCCCCGGCCCCGTCGCCCATGGGGAGCGCGGCCCGGCGGCGGCCCGGCGGCCCCGCTCGCACATAGCCCGGCGGGGCATGCCCGGCCCCAGGATGCCGGCCTGGGGGATCCTGCCCGTCACGCTGCCTGCCTTCACCATCACCGGCATGTGGATCGTGTGAGTGCCGCGGGGTCGCCGCCAGCCCCCCACCCACGGGCGGTGGGGCCGGGGCCCGGGCCGGATGCTGCGGGATGGCTGAGGGCCGGGGGTTGGAGGATGCTTTAGAGTGCGATGCTGCGAGGTGGGACGCAGCGGGATGGAGGTTGCGGGGAGCCGCTTTCCTCGGTCATGTTGGGGCACTTCTGGACACTCAGGGGCTCCCACACCTCCCTGAACCCCCACAGCCGCCCTGCGTGGTCCCCGCGTCCCCTGCAGCAGCGCTGGCATGTGCTTCCCTGTCCTTAAATCCCTGACACCCTGCGGAATCGCGCGCCCCTGTCCCGGCGTGAGTGCGGCAGACGCTCAGGTGGCTCGGGAACTCGGGAACGGTACCGGGAGCCGCGCCACCAGCCCAGGTACTGCAGCGCCAGGGCTGCCGTCCGTACATGGGCACCATCCCATGTGGTGGGTGGGTGGATGGACGGATGGATGGGCCTTGTGCTAGGAGTAGAGGCTGTGTCACTTGGGTGAGCAGTACTAGTCCATTTCTCAGGCCTTAACACAGGTGAGCAGTGGATGAAGGACTTTGAGAAAAGGCATCAAGAGGTTCAGTATAGGTAGTGGGACTTACTGGGGTGTGGGATGGAGCAAGTGCATCCCACATGCATGCAGGTTTCTCCAAGAGCTTCCCCCTGAGGTATCACCTGTCCTGCTTCATGACAAAGCGGAATGTCGAACCTGGTGCTAGGAACTTATGCTGCGAGTTTTTCCCTTGGACACCTTGCAAAGCATGGGCTGTCTCCTGTGAGTGACCGTGGGGGGCAGATACCTCTCCAGACTAAAGCAGCACGGATGGGAGTTGCTGCTTATGATCCTCACAGCCTGAGCTACCCTGGGAGTGGCCCTTTTGGAGACCTGTGCTTTTGGGAGATGGCTCGGTGAGGGGTCTGCTCCTTGGTGGCTGGGGGTGCTGTTCCTTGGTTTCCCCCACCTGTCCTGCTCCTTTGCCTCTGTTCTGGGATCATCCATTTTGCAGCCCAGCTATTACACAGCCAGCTAGGGAAGGAGGGTTTTCATACTGGTGTTGGGGCCTATTTTTAACCTGAGCTGTTCACAACCAGCAGTGATTTGAACAACAGGATGCTGCCCACTGCTGTGGCTGTTGGGCAGGAGGGCTCCTCGATGGCTGGGGTGGGGGCCATGGGGCTGGGACCCCTTGGAGTGGAGCAGGATGCATGTCATGAATCCCCTGTTACGCTGACTGAGGCACAAGGGTGACTCCACACTGAAATGCTTTAAGGAGCTGATCTCCCCATAATACTCTCCCAACATGCTGGCTACTTTTCCAGACTTCCTTTAGCTCTGTTGGTGGCCAGCCAGGGGCTGGGGGAAGCACAGCAGAGCCAGTGCCATTGGGTGTCACCCGGCACAGCTGCAGGCTGGTGGGGAGCCCCGATGCCAGGGGCATTCCAGGGAGACTCTGTGACAGAGCAGTCCCCCAGAGCCCACGGAGCACAGCAGCACGATGGAGAAGAGGCCCCACAGAAGCAGCTGCACTGAACTGGAGCAGGAGGTGGCTCTCAGCAGGGATGGGGGTACAAGGCAGGGGAACCTGCTTCCAGCAGTGGGAGTTCTGTGGAGCATGCACTTGTTTTTCTTTTTCCTGCTTTGTAAAGCTGGGAGGTGCCACAGGATGAGTGCTGGCCCCTGTCAGGCAGTGAAGGCCTGTATCTTCTGCTCTGGCTGCTAGTCCCTGGGGCCGCTCTGGATGCTGGCAGGGAAAGGGGATGCAGGAAGGCGGGTGGCTGTGGTAACCCTGTTGTTGTCTCTCCTCCAGATATGCCATGGCACTGTCCAACAACCACATCTGCCCTGTCCACAACTGGTAAGTCCTGCGGGGAAGCAGGGGCTTTTTGGCACATCCTGGCTTTATTAAAGACCTCATAATGCCAAGTTGCTCCATACCTGTCCCACTTGAAGCATGCCAAGCTGTGTCAGACCACTGGGTAGCTGAGGCACTCCCTGCACCATGACTGTGCTGAAGGGGGTTGGGGATGGTGGGAGCATTACAGGGGCACAGAGCTGCCTTCTTCCCTAGCAGATGTGGTGGTGATGGGGTGCAAACGCCATAGGGCACATGCCTCCTGCCCAGCCGAGTGGCTTTTGGGAGCAGAACAGCTTGGGGTCGAGCTGCTGTTGGGGCTGGGCTGCCCTCCCTCCCCTGCTCAGGCTCTGCTGTGGTAACAGCTACCCTGGTGAACAGTCCAGCCTCGCTGCAAACCAGGCGGGGAGAAGGAGGCCTTTGAAAAAACACAGCATGGAGAAAGTATGAAAATAAGTGGTCAGGGAATTACAGAGGGCTATGTGTCTCCATGGAAAAGGTTGTGACTTGCTTGCTTGAGGCTAAATCTGGCAGTGCCAGGGGGATGGGATGGTCCTGCAGCACCCAGACACCCCATGGGCAGAACTGCCTGCAACACCCCCAGATGGGGGATGAGGCGTGGAAGAGACAAGGGCTGGGAAAAGAAACACTGTTTGGTCTCTTGGCAACTCCTTCTGCAGGGTTTTTGGCTTGTAGAGTCGCCTTAAAAATCTGCCCAGAAAGATCCATGTTAGTTTAATTCTTGCTGGAGTGTTTGAAGAAGTGAAAAAAAAAACCTGCTGCCATTTCCTGCCTGATGGCTGATTCTGCCCTGAGAAGAATGTGTGTATTGGGTTGTCCCTGCCGCACAGCCAGCCCTTAATGACGAATTATGCTTCCCGGCCTTGGGCTGCTTGCTTTAAACAAAATAATAATAAAAAAAACCCTCCCAAACCAAACACAACCCCAAGAGCAGCCTTTGAGGAGGCCGTGGGGCTCCACTCCTCGCCTGGGTTTAGTGGTTGGAAAACAAAGCCACCAGTAAACTGAGGAGACTGAAAAAACATCAGAGCTCAGCCCAGCCCTTTCCAAAAAGGCTTTTTAACCATGTGCTTGCTGCATAGCTGGAAGTGGTGGATGGACAGCCTGGGTGAGGGACAGGGCAGCACTGTCCCCACACAGCTCTCCCCACAGTGCTGTCCCCCCTCAGTCTGCCCCCCAGTGTGGGACTTGGGGTGTCTGAAGAGGCCCTTTTGGGCAGAGAACTTTGCACTCACTGCCTGTGGTGTGAGCAGGGGTTCCACTGAGCCATGCCAGGCAGAAGTGCTGGATGCCACTTTTGCTGGGTGATGCTGCAGCAAAGAGGCACACAAAAACCCACTTTCAGTGTGTGCCAGCTCCTGGGAGAGCTGTGAGGGTGAGGGGGCTTGAGCCCCTGTGGTGGGAATTCGGTTAGGGTTGCAGGCGGCAGCTGTGTTACAGGAAGGGCTGATAAGAGCTCGGGGTGCGGGACTCACGGGGTCTGTGGGTGCAGGAGGTGCTCCCAGCGCACTGTCGTGGGTGTGGGCAGCAGAGCCCTGCCCGGCCCCGCAGTGCTGGGACTGCCCCGGCTGCACTGCTGGTGTGCCTGGCTCCAGGGCAGCCTGGGGGCTGCCTCTGGTCATGCTGTCCTTCAGGCAGTGCCTCCCAGCTCCCTCCCTTCTCCCAGCTCTCTCCCAGCTCCCTCCCTCCCAGGTGCGGTGGCACTGCTCCGGGAGTGCCTGTGGCTCTGGGGGCCATTCCCCACACAGCTCAGCATTCCAACCATCCCCTACAAACCTGGAGCTGTCAATAGCTGTGTGCCTGGCTGCGCTGGTGCCTCCATCCCGGCAATATGTGAGGGGGCTGGCAGGTGGGTGCTCCTGCTCCTGTCTGGGTGTGGGGCTGCCAGAACCCCCGAGCCCAGAGCCCGACCCACACAGCCTCTGCCTTGCCATGGCCTCTGCCTCCCAGGCTGGGGTGAGCAGCAGAGCCAGCAGGCAGGGAACAGGCTGTGGAAACACAGGCGTGATTCTACCTGTTGGGCAGTGGGTCACTCCCTGGAGGTTGTGGGCACATCCCTGGGTTTGGGCTGCACTTGCAGGGCAGGAGACACGAGGGTCCTGGGCAGCGTCTCGGCTCTCCTAACCTGTTCCTGTGTGCTGGCAGGAGTTACAACCAGTCGTGTGACATGGACGGCCCCAGCTCCTGCTGCACGCTGGATCACATCCCCCTCGTCAGGTGAGCAGCCTCAGGGTGGGGGCACGGGTAGAGCTGCTCTGAGACCCGTCCAGGGCAACCCAGGAGGGTGTCCTGTGGAGGGAGTCAGGCACACACCCCAGTGCCCCCTGTCTGAGTGTTCTGTGGGTTTTGTTTGTCCCCACAGCAAGTGTGGCACCCTGCCTCCCGAGAGCTGCTTCTTCAGCCTCATCTGCAGCCTGGGCTCCTTCATGGGTAAGTGCCTGCTGCCATGGAAGCAGGGCTGGGAGAGGCTGCCCTGCACCCACCCCGGCATGGGGCAGCAGTGGGATGAGGGGGCCCGCAGACAGTGGCATGTGACTGTGTTTCCCTCCCGCAGTCATCCTGGTGGGACTGCTGCGCTATGCCCACCTCCTGGAGCGCCTGGGGCCATCCCTCCTCAACACCCTGGGGCTGGCCACTGGCTGGGTCTGCGCTGCTGGCCTCACCATGGTTGGCAACTTTCAGGTAAGGCATCTCCTCAGGAATCCCTGGGGTAGGGTGGCAGGAGGGCCTTGGCTGGAGCAGGGCAATGGCTGTGCTCAGCAGGGTAGGGTTTGGGGTCGTTGGTTTGGTCCAGTGTCCCATCCATGCAATCCTTCCTTTCCCCTGAGTCAGTGCTGTGCTTCCCAGGGTGCTGGGTGTCCTCTTTGTGTATTCATACTTCAAGTCCAGATTAAGCTGCTGGGTTTGGTTAAACCCGTACCTGAGCCCCCTCTGCACTGTCTGTGCTCTCCATGGGCACGTGCAGGGGCAGGGACATGCTGTTCAGGCTGATCCTGCCCAGGGGGTGACGCCAGGAAACTGTCAGGGCAGAGCCCGTGCTCACGGGGAGCGGAGCGGGCCCAGGCTTGGCAGCGCACGGCGGTGCTCAGCCCCTGCCTGCTCTGCCAGGCCCCGGGCTCCCGGCAGCGCCTGCGGCAGCCAGTCCCTCCCGCTTGGCAGGAGGCTGCTGCCCACGGCAGCCCCGGGAGAGGCTGTGCAGGCCCCGGTCCCCCTTGTGGCCCAGCCGTGGTGAGCGGCGCTGGGCTGTGACCCTCAGGAGGGGTGCAGGCAGTCCCTGATGTTGCTCAGGGCAGAGGGCAGCCCCTGGGCACAGCAGGGCTGCTGGCCCATGGATAAAAGAAACAGCTCTTTGAGATCCCAGCAGTAGATGGTGGATCCAAGTCTGCTCTTCAGCCAGGAGTAGGCACAGGGTGAGCTGCCTGGACCTGCTCCCAGCACTGTCTGCACCCCTTCCTGGGCAGGACTACAGCTCCTGGAGCAGAGTCACACTGTGATAGGCAGTGTCCCAGGGTGCTGGCACTGATGGTTTCTTCCCCACAGGTGGATCACGCCAAGGTGCTACACTACATTGGGGCGGGGGTGGCCTTTCCCACCAGCATGCTGTTCCTGCTCCTGCAGTCCATCCTCACCTACCGCATGGCCAAAACCCGAGGGCAATACTGGACCGGCCACTTACGTAGCATCCTCACCACTGTGGCCTTCTTCACCCTCGTCTTCAGTATCCTGAAGGGTGTGGGAAGATGATTGGGAATAGGCTGGTGAAAGGTGGTCCTTACAGTGGCGTATATGCCCCAAATTCTCTATCCTTTGGTCTGGCAATGAGGCATGGTGCCAGGAGAGGAGCTGGGCAGGGCACTGAGGGTGGGCAGCTCACTGCAGGTGTAGGCTAGAGGAGCAGCAGCACCAGGGCTGGGCAGGGGCTGAGGAGGGGGAGGGATGCTGGTGGGTGTCTCTTGCAGTGCTGGTATGCCCCAAACCAGCTGTGCCCTGGTTGCTGCAGCCCAGCCACCACTGCAGACTCCAGTTACACACCACCCAGGTCTGGTTAATTGTTGGGCTTTTTTAATGGGACAGAGGTATTTTGAACCCTTGGCAATGCAAAGTCCATCTGGGTTACCTCTCTGACTGAAGCTGAGTACAAAAGCACTGGGTGCAGGTGCCAGGTGGTGCATGGCAGCACCTCTGTCAGCCAGAACTCCTGGGCACTCACCAGCCAATCTGCCCATGGGCCAAGGAGGGGTTTGGTGAGCAGGTACTGGGGTCTGCAAACACTTTACCAGGGAGGGAGGGCATGGCATCAAGTGGGCTGGAGCTCAAAGAATGGTCCCAAGTGTGTGGCTGGGGACTGAGGAGCTTATTTGGGACTGAGGTTGGGGATAAATTGGGAAACGAGGTAGTGGTTATTGGGCAGGAAGGGGAAAAAGCATGCAGTGTCCATGGATCCCAAAGAGGCTGGCTGGGGTCTGGCTGAGGCGAGACACAAGAGGAGCCTGGGGGTGCTGGCAAGCCTGTCATGTATCAGAGGGTCCTGCTTTGTCATCACAGCAGGCAGGCAGGCTGGGAGGCAGGCAAGGAGCTGGGAAAGGCAGGACTGCTGCAGGGCCATGCCAGCTGGGAGGGACAGGAAGGGCATGTAAGGACAAGGAAGACAGGACTGGTGCCCATCTGCTGTGGCCATTCTGCTCTGTAAGCTGGCAGTGGGCAAGCAGTGAGCTGTGATGTGGACAGTGTGGGGAAAGGGCTGGGATCTTTCCTGATGGGATGGGGGGAGTGACCAGAGGGCTCTACACTGTACAGGTCAGGTCCCTGCTTCTGCAGCTCTCCCAGACCTTGGTGTCACTTGCAGAAGGCATGGTACTGCTGGAAGCTTCACCTGGAGGGCTGGGAAGTGTACCTCCTCCCCTCACCCACAGTAGCTCTTGCAATAGGTTTCCCTGGAGATTTTTGGTGGGGGTAAGAGAAGGATAAGGAAATTCTGGTAGTGGTAGGATCTGGAGGAGTGGGAGCAGGCCTCCTTTCTGGGGTGGGCCAGCCTGAAGCACAGAAGGACAGGAGGTGCTGCAGGACTGGGATGGAACAGTCCAAACCCTGTTTCAAATGTTGAGTTTTATCATCTTTGACTGCATCCTGTGAGAGGATGGAGACACCAGCCTGGCTTGAGGAAGAGGCAAGGAGTGTGGGGAAGTTGAGCATCTGGGCACCTGGCTTTCACTGAGACCTGCAGCCTGAGTTCGTCCTGCCCTGGCCTCTTCAGATGATCCCAGCCTGGCATCAGTGCAATGACTTACCAAGGCTGGTTTGGGCATGTGTGCCACCTGTGCCAGGGCCCTTCTGGTGCTGGGAGAAGCATGTGGGGGTTTCTCAGTGTTAGGAGTGGTGGTGTGTTTCCTGCAGAGGATGGGTACTCACGTCCATCCCAGCATGCAGTAACAGTGGGACATGGCCCTCCATGGGGTGGTTTTGGTTCAGCTGTACTATCCTTGACTGGGATACCCTCAGGTGGCGTGTTCTTCATCCAGGAGAGCTTCGTGCTACAGCACGTGGCTGCCTTGTGTGAGTGGATGTTCATCATTGATGTCCTGGTTTTCTACGGCACGTTCACCTTTGAATTTGGGGCCATCTCCACAGACACCTTCCTGGTCCTGCTGAAAGCCAGCCGGGCCCCCAAAAGTTACAAGGGTGAGAGCAGCCTGTCCAGTACGGCCAACATCCATGGCCATGTGGAGGGCCTGGCTATGGCCTGAGCCCCACAGGAGGCAGCCCATAGTGGAGACCCCAAACTGGGCTCTGCCAGTGACTCCCCACCTTGAATATCTCTGAAAACCCCGCTGCTGTGTGTTTGTGTGTGTTTATGTGTGTGTGTGTATGTGTTTGTGTGTGTGTGTGTGTGTGTTTATATGTGTGTGTGTGTGTGTGTGTGTGTGTGTGTGTGTGTGCATGTGGGCCTGCGGTGCCCTCCACTCTCAGCAGGAGCTGTGTCCAGTGCTCCTCTGGCAGCTGCTGCCCCTGCAATAGCTGTCCCTCCCTGCCCACAGGGTTTGGGGTCACTGCTGGGGTGTGGGGATGCCAGCCTGGTGCTATCAGCAGAGCCAGGATCTGCCCCTGAGCCTCGGGGGTAGCCTGTTCTGAGTCGGGCTGCTGAAGGCAATCATACTGAGGCTTCCTCCTGTAAGGGACATGGGGGAGCAGGGGGCTCACTCTCCCTTCACCACACAAGCCTGGTGTGCTGGAAGGGGATGAGATCTCTGTTCTTCACTCCTCCACAGGGGTAAGCAAGCCTTCCAGCTGGCTACTGTGACTGTCAGAGGAGCCAAAAACACAGAGTGCCTTTTCCCTTTCTTGGAAAGTGACTGCACTGCCAGTCTGTCTGCAACCCCAGTGAAGATGGCAGCAGGGAGTGTCTCCCTGCCTGCCTTCCCAGGTGCGGGTGGTGTCTCACTGTGCTGCGGATTGACACCGGCAGCCTCAGCTGGACAGTGCTGACCCCCCCCGTGCCAGGGCTCTCACTGCTCAGGGCCTTCTATGCCATCAGTCAGTGTCCTGCATTTTTTCAGCTTGAGAATTGATGAGGCAGGTTTCACCTCTCTGGTCACAGCATTTCCCTGCTTCCAGCTAGTTTGGGAAACGAGTCTTCAAATTTACATCATATGGGGGATGTCCTGCAGGCACCATGCCTACTGAACAGGAGACTTCTGCTCTGTGCCGCTGCCAGCCCAAGCTGTCCCGGGGAGTGCAGCCATGGAAAGGGGAAGCACTTCTGTAGGAACAGAGGATTTGTGTGCCCCATTCTTCTGGGACTCCCAAATCCGTCCTCTGGCGCCTTGGCCAATGCCTGCCTGGCGGGAGCTCATCCCGCTCAGCCACAGCATCCTTGGGCTGAGGTGAGCCCGGGGTTTCCTGGGCAGGGGGTTGAGCTGTTGAGGGGTATGAGTGCTGTGTGTGCGTGTGTGTGTATGCATAGATCTACAAATATATATATATATATATATATATACACATACATACATATATATATATATATATATATATATATATATATATAAAATCCCCTTGTCCCTGGAGAGGGGCATTTACTGCTGCTGCTGCTGCTGCTGTGCGCATTGATCAAGTTGGGCTTTCCTGTTTGCCCACCTTTTCCAAACCGGCCTGTAAATCCACCAGTATATGTAGTTCAAAGAGGAGCCTTTCTGACTTTTGTATCTAATATATTTTTTAAAAAGTATATATAAAGACAACAGTGAATTTACAATAATAAAAGTGAAAATCATCCGTGAGTGAGACAGACGGTCCTTCCCCGCTGGAATAGCAGCTGGCCTTGGGAATGGGGTGCAGGGTCCTGTCCCCACCCTCGGAGGACAGCCATGACCCCGGGGCTCCGTTCCCTGACCCGAGTGCCAGCCAGGTGGCGGACAGGCGATGTCGCCGGGATGCAGCAGCCTGGAGTTGCCCGTCCCGTCGGGGGTCCCTGGCCCGCCCTCCCGCTGTCTGTGCCGGGCGGAGCCGGGTCCGGGAAGCCCCGGGAGGCGGAGTCGGGTCGGGACTTTCCCGGTACCGCGGCCGGGCGCGGCGGCCGGGCTGCGGCTGGGAGGAAGGTAAGCGGCCGGGCCGGCTGGGGGTCCTGGGGGTGCCGGGGGGACGCGCCCCGCCCGAGCAGCGGCGGGCAGGGCTACCCGCGCCAGCGGGAGAACGGTTCCCAGGGAAAGGGAGTTGAGCGGTCCCGAGGTCTAAAATCCCTGTGCTTGGGCTGCCCGTCCCCGCGGGAGGGTCCTGGGCTCGCTCTCGCTCCAGCAGCCACGCCGGTCCCTGGTTGCCTCTGGCCGGCCGTGCGGCCAGCTGGGGTGGGGGTTGTTGGGAAGATCCAGGTTGGAGAGACAGTTGCTCTCTTGGAGGAGAGAGGAGACAGCACGTCCCAGCGCTGGCGGTTACACCCTTTTCCCTGCCGGTGGGGAAGTTCCCTATTTTCTGTGGTGCCAGTGGGTTCTGCCCCATCCTGCAGCTCTCCCTCTTGCGTCCTGAGCCCTGCCTGCGCTGGAGCAGGGCTGGCCTGCTGCCCGCTCCGAGGGGAATCAGATCCGTGCCCACAGGCTCGGCAAGCTGTAGCCCAAATGGAGCCGTGAGCACTAACACGGTAGTGGTACTGTGGACAGAGGGGAAACTGGAGAAAGACAGCAAACCCGCCGGGCTGAAGGGCATACAGCTGGATTAATAGTTCATAACAGCAGAGGAGCTGATTTACAGGCCCTTAGAGGAGAAAACCAGAAGATCAGTGGGTGGCTGGGGTTTCCCAAAACCAACTTGATAGCCACAATGAGAATAAAGGCATTTTATGCAGAGATACACAAATGGCTTCAGTGCTCAAAGGCAGGCTGTCAGGAGGGGAAGGCTTTGAAAGCTTTCAGGGGAAGGGGATTTCTCTCATCCATGCTTGCTGGGCAAGGACTTGGTTTCCAGGAAGGGTCTCAGAGCAAAGTCACTGTGAACACAATATGAGAGACTCAGCAGCCTCTTGCCAGTAGCTGTTGGGGCTCCAGGGATGGAGCAGAGCACAGGATTTGTGCAGAAAGCAAGGCCAACTATTTAGGGCTATTGTTTGCAGGTGTTAGCAGACCCAAGGGAAATCAAAATGCGAAGGGAAGAGTATGTTAGAGGAGCAGCCAGCTGAGTGGCTGGAACATGTCAGCTGTACACCAGCACAGTTCAAAGCAGGGCTGTACTCTTGCTGCCTCCTGCATTTCTGGAGCACCCTTTCCCATGGCTGCTAAACACTCCTGCCTCAGATAGGCTGACGTGTGTTTCCCTCCTGCCTGCAGGGCATCAGCTCTGCAAGTCAGCCGACTGTCATGGGAAGAAAGAAAATAGCACCTGCATTACTAGGTCACGTTCAAGGAGCTGCAGGCATGGAACACTGGCTTTAACTCACACTGCTTGCCAAAGGCTGGCCCTTAATTGAAGCACTCTGGCTGGCACAGGGAGGCTGTGCCATCTGGCAAGGGTACTCTGGCAGTGCTGCACTCCAGGGCAGGGAGCTGATGCTGCTCTGGGCAGTGCCTTGCAGCTGGATTGCTGCTCTTTCCCCCCATTCCCAGCAATGCCTAGAGAATCCTTCCTGAACCCTAGGAATGTGTGAAGATGGGGAGGAAGTAGCCAAGTAAATGGGGTCTGCAGTTCAAGCCCATGATTCAGGGCAGACGTGTTGGGAAGACAGAGCAGGGGATGCTACTGATGGAGGAAGGAGAGATGTGTTCCCTTCTGGCATGTGTGGGGGCGTATGCTGCACTCCTAGGGAAACCCCAAGTCCTGGAGGCCAGAAAGGCATGCTGCTTGGCACAGGAGGCAGCACTTCACCTGACAGCAGGTCTGAGGTTGCCTGAGGTTGCTTTTCCAGGAACAAGGAAGCAGGTGATGAGACCATCTCTGCTCAGCAAGCAAGGTGGGCTTCCTCCAGCACACACTGCACAAGGGTGCAGGGATATAGCTGCAACCTCCAGAGAGAGCCAGAGCTGTGTGGGATGGGGAGCCACAGGTACGACTCCAAAACATTCTTTAGTCATGCTGTTTGCTGCAACAAGTGGAAGTGTTCTGGGCAGCAGCAAGTGAGCTGTGAAAACCCCTCAAGAGGAGAAGGAGCTGATGCCACTGGAGAAGGGGAGTTGTGCTATTCAAGGGGCACAGTCTGTTCTTATCCAGCAGCTTCAGGCCTAGGCTCCCCCACCAGGATCAGAGGGTAGGGTGGCCAGCTGTTCCCAGCACACTGAGGAAGGTTGTTTGTCCCTTTGTTCACCTCTCTGGAAGATCTGTGCCCAGCAGATAGGGTGGCTGACTGGTGGTGGCAGGCTGAAGCTGTCCAGGTGGGATGATCAATGGAATCCCAACAGCAGGCAGTCTGTGCTGCTTCCCACAGACCAGCAGAGGGTTGTGTCCATGTTCCTAGGCCTTCGGAAGCCCCTGCAGGATGACAGGAGGAGGGTTCCCACTTCATTTTGCAGTGCTGGATCTCTACCTTCTCCTTGCACCCTGCCCTGCACTTGCAGGTCCCACAGACCCCACATCCCAGGCTACACAGCTGGCTGGAATGCATCTCCATGCTTGGCCATGGCAGGCCAACCGGGAAAAACCTCAGGCGTGAGGTCACAGGACAGTCCCTTTGGAAGACTTGAGTGGCTGAAAAATCTCCTTGAAAAGGCTCTGTTCAGCTTCTGAAGAATATGAGTCACGCACGGATTGAACAATCCCCTTCCTTCCCCTCTTCTCCCACACACTCAAAATCCCCTGAGTGAGACCTGCAGCAACCACTGATTCAGAAATTCATAGTGTGAGGGCATTGTGGAGTCAGATACGGGATTTTTTTTTCTTTTCATTGGTTAGTGAGAAGAAATGAGGAGCGTGCCTGTAGGCTCTTCCCTGGTCCTGCCCCTTTGCTAGAAGTCGCCGGTGGTTTTCTGTGGTGAGGCAGAGCGGACCCCAGCGGAACTCCTGTCTGTGGTACTGGCAGTCTCTGGCGATGCTGGGCCTGAACGGGTTGCTGAGACCAGCCTCTTCCTCCCCGGTGAGTAGGAGGGTGTGAGCCTTGTGGGCTCCTGCTGCTGGCAGTGCTTTGCTGGGGTCAGTGGGAAGCATCCAGTGCTGAGTGCTGGGGCAGTGGGAGATGCTCCCACAGGGAGCTCAGGGGCTGCTTCCATTTTGAAGTCAGTGGGAAGGAGGCAATGGGAACATGGATAGCGAATGCCTCTCTCTGGCCACCTCCGCGGGAAGGATGCAGGGGTTGCTGTGTAAGTTGAAACTGGGGAGAGGGAAAGCACTCCTTTGGGTGCCTAGCAAGGGGCTGCTGCCTCTGCAGTGTGCTGGAGAGATTCCCTTGTCCGGGGGGAGCCATGGGCTTGGGGACTGCACTTTGGGGCGACTCCTGTTTGAGTCCATAGGGGCTTGGAGATGACATCCCGGTGCGGGAGACACATCCCTGTGCAGGATGGGATGATGTGGGGTAGGGATCTTGGGGAACCCAGGGGTTTCTGCGGGGGTTTACGGCGCGGGCGGGTGCTTTCAGCCGTGCTGCACTGCAGGTCTGGCTGGGGAAGGGCTCATGGCAGCGCAGCGGGGACGGGCACCCGCAGCGGGACAGGCGGCCGGAGACGGTGTGGGGCAAATCCCTCCGTACTCCCGAGGGGAAAACACGGCACATCTGGCGCCCCGGAGTTGCCAGGCAGCGCCCGGGCGAGAACGGCCGGGGGAGGCGGGCGGGAGTGCTCCGGGATTTCCAGCCCGCCCGGGGCTCCGAGTCCAAAATTCCCAGGCGAGGACGGGACAGCCCGTCCTGTTGCCCCGAGCGGCCGCCGGCGGGCGCAGGAGCAGCCGGGCCGAGCAGAGCCCCGCTCCGAGCCGTGCCGGGCCGACCCTGGCGTTCCGTGGCCCCAGTCCCGTGCCCCGACCCTGGCGTTCCGCGGCCCCTGTGCCGGGCCGGGCCGGGCCGTGCCCCGGGCGGGGCGGGGCGGTGACGCGCGGTCCCGTCATTTCCCGGCTCGGCGGGGTTTCTAGGGACTTTCCGGAGCGGCGGTGCCTTCCTGCAGCCCCGCTCCCCGCTCAACCCCCCTCTCCCCGCAGGCCGGCGGCCGGCCCCGCGCCGACATGGACGAGCAGTTCCAACCCGTGAGTGCGGCACGGATCGGATCGGATCGGCCCGGGGGGTGTCGGTGCCTGGTCCCGGAGCTGGGCAGGGGGCAGTGCCCGACCGCACGGGTGGGGTGGGAGGTGGGGGTCCTTGCCTGCTTCCGGGGTGGGAGGTGGGAGGGTCTGTGTCAGCCTCCAGGGGTGGGCACCGAGGGGTCTGCACCTGCCCACCTCTCTTCCCGGGGAGGGACAGGGATCTGTGCCTGCCCCGCTGGGGTTCTGTGCCAGACTGCCATCACCAGTCCAGGGTAGTTGGGTGATTCCAGCCCAAACACACTCATCACACTCATCTTCCCTCCCATCACCTAGTGCCTGGATGGGATTGACTATGATGACTTCAGTTTTGGCTCCCACATGGTGGAGCAGAAGGAGCCCCTGATGGAGACAGGTAAGGGCCCCTCTGGCTGTACCCTTACAGGGGTCCCCAGCTGCAGTGGAGTTTCCCAGCGGGTTGACTCATGCCTTTTAGTTGCCAGAAGCACCACAGCCTTTGTCCTTACTGGCCCACTGTGGGCTGGCTGGAAATCCCTGTCTCATGACACCAGTATGGGGCTTGTTCCATCTGTCCCTACTACTCAGTCTGCCAGGGAC